TTTTTTCAAGATACATGTAGCTAAATTATTATTTCTTCTCCAACTATCATGTAGATATATATCTCAATCAACGCAGAATGGTGGTGAGCGTCGTCTGAAAAACTGTTTTGTTGCCAATGTTCCACTAAATTTGTTTATTCATTGGTTCAATTATTTTTTTACCGAAAATGGCTTCAGTGTTTACACAGAGATCACGTGACTTTACACGTCCATACACACACTATCTTGTCGGTTTCACATTCAGTGTGAAATAAGCTTTCCATCAATATATAGCTTTGTATGGTTCAGTAAATATTTTATATGGAAACATCCGTTTAGAAAATCAATACCAAAAACCTATACAGCATCCTTAAATCACTCAATTTGAATAACTAAATGGTGTTTTCCAAGCAAACAGATATTAGATAAAATAGAAACCTTGTATTTCTTTATCAGAGTCTGAAGCAAACACGTAGTATATTGGACCAATGATTTCATTCATTCCTTGTACATAGCCTTGTCCAGGATTTAATTTGGCATAGATAAATAATATTCTTTCAACAACTTCCCAATGTGCTTCCTGTCCTTCTGGTAATGTAGCATACTCATCTGGCAGGGATCTCTTTTTTTGATGAACCTACAAATGTAAAATTTGATGTGAGTTGTTCAATTCACTTTTCCTTTCTTTACACGCTATACAACTAGCATGAATGTAAAAATATGAATGTAAAAATGTTTTGTAATGAAAAAGAGATTGAACAGTTTGGATTAACACTTTTTGAATACACCTATTCTTGACAGTCATTTTGAACACAGCTGTTTCAAACATGCCTTGTAATTTTTTAGGAGAGAATTCTGCTAACTTTCAAATTACTATTGAAATAGCATTATAGATATTATACATATATTCATGATTGGATACCACAGGAAAATACTGAACTCCACTCATTATAATTGTTGCAAAGAACAATTTTGGGGCAACTAGATGCATCACCATTGGGTGCAATTTGCATGCTGAAATTTGCATAAATTTACATATTTTAATTTGCATAAATTTACATATTGAAATTTGCATACTGAAATTTGGTCACCTTCTTTCCTTTTATGTACATAGATCTGCTTTTTAATATAGAAATTATATTTTTGGTTGTAAGAAAGAGTTAAATTTAAAACATACTGCTTACATTTGTGATACCCAACCAATTTTTGCCCACATCACCAGCATTGAGTACTGTGTACTCTACTCTCTTTCTCAGTGTTTCAGATTCAGCATTTATAATCTCCATGCATTGGTAATTTGTTGGTCGCTGGAAAAAAGCTATTTCTGGCAGTAACCTCCTGTAAATAAAATAAAGTGCATGTAGCAGAGACAGAAATTAAATGATTGGACTATACTGTAAAATACTTTATTTTCACTTGGAATTAATTTTTGCTAATTTTGCTGAAGGAATGATTTAGTGAAAATAAAATCCAGCTAATACATCTTTTTTCCTATATTTTACATTCAACTCGTCAACATAAAATAAATTCCATACAAAACACCCATAAAGTCTTTTCAGCAAAAATTAATTCCAGCTAAAGTAAATTTTACAGTAATTATTAGAGTTTTTATTTTACAGTAATAGTAAATAATTACTTTTTCTTGTCATGAAATGTTTTGATTTATTTGAAAGAAGTTTTGTTGCAGCAAAGAGTTCAAATTAATCATGTGATGTCATTATCATAACCGGCATTGCAACTCACCTGTCATCTGTTTCGTAAATTGGTGTAAATGCAACTAGAAAAATTTTATTTTTAGTTTGTTTTGTGCAGAAATATTGAATGGTCTGTTATACCTTCTTTGTCATCAGCCTCACCTATCCATGTGTATGTTCTATGGAGAGCATTTTAGCCCTCGAATTTTAATACAAAATATAGAATGTGCACTACACCACAGGTGAATTCTGACTTACCTTGTGTCTTTATCTATTTGCAATAAGACATCATTATCTTTAAAATATTGAGACCAATTACTGTCTGGATTGGGGTTTAAAGGCTATAAAAACAAACCAGCACAAGACATAAAGCATGTTTAAAAGATTAAATAATTATACAAGCAGCCTCTCGGCTGAGATAGCTCCGCTGTTAGCAATGCACATTTCAATTAAAGAACAGAAGATATCATTAGAAGATGAACAATATGCATAGTATCAATGCTATGGGACTTGCTGTTTTCAACAAGAATGCAAAAATATCATTTTTCACCATAAATGATTGTGGTTTTTAACAAGAAGTCGAAAATATCACTTTTTACCAAAAATGACAAAAATATTCATCAAAATTAGAGAATTAAAGATATCATTAAAAATGAACAAATTGAGAGTGGTCCACACGTAGTACATATATA